ACCTTATAGTGCCGTCGGGAATGTTAAAAGTGTTAATATTTGTAAAGCACTTAGCACAGCGCCTGGCACATAGTAAGTGCTTTATGTATAAATAAATATTTGTTAAACAAATGAATAACAATCATATGGACTCTGCACATAGACAGTCCTGGATTTAAATCCTACCTCTGCTAGGTTTTAGCCATATGTCATTCTGGGAAAGTCATGGAACCAGGATGAGCCTCAGTTTCCTCATCTGTCAACTGCAGATAATAACACTTCCCTCGAAGAGACTGCATCTCCCGGGATCCCGGGAGCCCGCACATGCAGGGTACTTAGCGCAGGACTGGCACCGGGTAAGGGCTTTGCAGCATAGCTCTTCTAATAAGGCAGACACTCTCGAGGGGCTTACGGTGCTGACAGTGAATGAAAACATTGGCCTCTGCTCACTGTCAGATGCCACCTCCTCCACAAAGCCTCCTCCACGTCCTGTGGTTTTTCACTCTTTGAACGCCCATGAACATTGATCCGGCTGTACCTCTTATGGGCTTTAGCTTTAAATTCCTTNCGCGTCCGCACCTCGCCCAGCCAGTGAGCGGCCGGTCTGTATGTGGGATCCGAACCCTCGGCAGGAGCGCCGCCGCGCTCCCAAGCGGCGCACTGTAGCAGCACGCCACCGGGCCGGCCCCGCAGACTCCCCTTTTTACTGGGGATCCCCTACTCTTCTGGTAGGAACTAACCCTCTAGTTCTCAGACATCCTATTAACAACAACAACCATCTGACTCCCCTTTTTACTGGGGATCCTCTACTCTTCTGGTAGGAACTAACCCTCTAGTTCTCAGACATCCTATTAACAACAACAACCATAGCTACAACCTCAGCCACGACAACCATAGCCACAGCGCAACTAACATGAACTGAGTGCTTTCTAAGTGCCGGGCCCTCTGCTGAGTGCTGTCCTTGCACTGTCTCCTTTAATCCTCACCCTGGCTTTCTTGTTTCTGTTTACAGATGAGGAAACCGAGAATTCTGGGGTTGTGACATCCCTGGTAATTGGCAGAGTCAGGATGTTTACCCTGGCTGCCTGACTCTAGTTCACGATCCCACACTGTCTGGGAGACAGCCCCTTGCCTCTATTAACCCAGGTCGCCTGGACCCAGCTCACTCCTGGCCAAAATACTCCAACCTTCCTCATTACCACTCTCCCCACCCAGAGCCAGCACGTCCAATCCCCTGCCTCCATGCTAGAGAGCCATCCCTAGGTAAATCCAAACACTGAACAACCTCTACACGAGGGGCCAGAGCCCCACTCCACCCCACCACAAGCAGATGGAGCCTGGACTTGCCATGGCTGAGCCATGGAAAAGGCAGAGGGCTCTGCCCTTGCCGTGCTGGCACCAGCGGCTGGCTGGGTCGGCCATTAAGCCTTCAATGGCTGGGCAGGGACCTCTCCTAAGGATCTCAGGGAGCTGAGCATCCTCAGGGAGCCAGAGCCTGGTGCAGACCTGAGCCAGACCTGACTCAGAGAAGGGTGTGCTACACCGAGGGCTGGTGACCCCCTGTGTCTTTTTGGGATGTAGATTCACACTGTCCCAACTGCTGGAATGGCGACTGGGGACTCAGCTGGCACAGACGTGAACTGACGCTTGACTGGGTTCAGGGCCCACAACCTCTGCTCTCATCTAGGCCCCCTGGAGCCCACCCGAGGGGTATCCTGTAAAGGAATCACTTCCTAGAAGTCAGCAGTGTCTGTGTCCCTCCCGGGGCTCTGAGGGGCATGTCCTTCATTCAGCATTGATTGAGAACCTGCTATGCAGCTGGCCTGTGACGACAGAGATGCATGGGAGAGACACTGTCCCTGCCCCAGAGGAGCTACTGCAAGAGGGCAGGCAGAAGTGTGGACATGGCAGGGCAGCCCACCACCCTCCTTCAGGCTGCAGGGTGGGCAGTCAGTCTCATGGATTGGATCGGGGTTTTGCAGTCTTAAGCAGCGTGGGCTCAGAGCCTGACTACTGGGTTTGCCCCCCCAACACCATTTACAAAATGTGGTGCCTTGGGCCAGACCCTCAATCTCATCTGTGAAAATGGAATAATAAAGGAGCTACCCTTAGAGGACTGCAGTGGGGATTAAATGAGTTCACATGCGCAAAGCATCTAGAGCCATCTGGCACATGGTGAGCACGCAGCAAATGTTAGCGATGGTTGTTATTTAATTGTTCCCTGTAGGATTTTTGTTTCTTTGGCTAGGTTCTGTATTTTTGGAGGATATGGATGATGGCTTTTACTCCTTTTCTTTATCTTACCAGGGACCAGATGCACAGCGAGTCACTCATACATATGGAAACATCCTTACGGGTAATGAGGCATCTTCAACTTCCTCCCTGTCCTTCACCCCCAACATCCATTCAATTACCAGGTCCCATAGATTCTAACTCCCTAACATCTCTGGTATCTATTCCGACTGTCCCTTCTGTCTGTCATCTCTGGCCTGGAACCTTGTGCAACTTGCTAATGGGTCTCTCTGCTGCTGGACTAAAACTTTCCATCCTGCAGTCAGAGTGATGACTCTTAGAAGGTGATCTGAGAGTGCCACTGTCCTGCTAAACACCACACATTCGATGGCTCCCCTTTGCCCCTGGAACACAGGCCACATTTTTGCCTCAGCATCCAGGTCCTGCTGCTGGACTAAAACTTTCCACCCTGCAGTCAGAGTGATGACTCTTAGAAGGTGATCTGAGAGTGCCACTGTCCTGCTAAACACCACCACATTCGATGGCTCCCCTTTGCCCCTGGAACACAGGCCACATTTTTGCCTCAGCATCCAGGCCAGGCCCTCTTGCTGTCCTCTCCAGCCCCGCGTCTGATGGCCTCCATGCCCTCCTGGGTGCCCGTCCAGCCTTCCCCTGGCACTTGCAATTCTGACTGTTTTGCTCTCTTCACGCTTCAGTGACTTTACATCTCCCCCATGCCCTGTTCCTTTGGCCTGGGGTGCATGTACCCACTGCAACCTGCTGCCTGACTCTCACCTCTCCTTCACACTCAGTGCAGCCACCGCTGGCTCCAGCAAGCCCTCCTGGGTCCCCTCGCCAGGCTGGTTAGATACCCCTCCTCTGGGCTCCCTGCGCGCTCCAAGTTTATAAAGCGCATATTCCTTCATTCATTCCACAGACCACCTCCTCTGTGCCACGCACTGTCCTAGGTGCTGGGAAACAGCGGTGAACAAAGGCGCTGTGCTTGATGCTGGGGACCAAAAGAGAGTATGACAGGGAGGAGATATAGTCTACGGGATACGACAGCAGGGAGAGCTGTGGTTAGAAGCACAGCTCTGGAGCCAGGTGTCTGTGTTCGGATCCCAGATCTGCCACTTAACTAGCGGTGTGACCTTGAAGAAGCTGCTTAACCTCTCTGTGCTTCAGTTTCCCCATCTGAAAAATGGGATTATAATACTAACTACCTTATAGTGCCGTCGGGAATGTTAAAAGTGTTAATATTTGTAAAGCACTTAGCACAGCGCCTGGCACATAGTAAGTGCTTTATGTATAAATAAATATTTGTTAAACAAATGAATAACAATCATATGGACTCTGCACATAGACAGTCCTGGATTTAAATCCTACCTCTGCTAGGTTTTAGCCATATGTCATTCTGGGAAAGTCATGGAACCAGGATGAGCCTCAGTTTCCTCATCTGTCAACTGCAGATAATAACACTTCCCTCGAAGAGACTGCATCTCCCGGGATCCCGGGAGCCCGCACATGCAGGGTACTTAGCGCAGGACTGGCACCGGGTAAGGGCTTTGCAGCATAGCTCTTCTAATAAGGCAGACACTCTCGAGGGGCTTACGGTGCTGACAGTGAATGAAAACATTGGCCTCTGCTCACTGTCAGATGCCACCTCCTCCACAAAGCCTCCTCCACGTCCTGTGGTTTTTCACTCTTTGAACGCCCATGAACATTGATCCGGCTGTACCTCTTATGGGCTTTAGCTTTAAATTCCTTGGATGCCACCTCCTCCACGTCCTGTGGTTTTTCACTCTTTTGAACGCCCATGAACATTGATCCGGCTGTACCTCTTATGGGCTTTAGCTTTAAATTCCTTTTCTGTAACTGACCAGTTAAGTGGCACTGAACAATCACTTCCCTTCCCTGAGTCTTATCTTTTTTGTTTTTTCTTTTGATCTGTAAAGGGAGATAGAAATCACCTTTAACAGAGCAACATGGTTGGAATCAAATGAGACAATGTCTGCAAAGCACCAGAATGTACCTGGCACATGTTTGGCTCTTCAGCCTGTCATGGTCTCCTGCCTGGCCTGTCAGTTCACTGAGGAGTCTGATTTAATTCTGTGATTCCCAGAGATGGCAAGTGAAAGAGTCAGTGCGTTAACGACAAGATGAATGGACGGGAAGTGAACCCACGAGGGACGGGAGCAGGTGAGACGTTTCCTGGCCTGCTTGGGATTGTTTAAATCCTCCACTCCACAGAGTCTTTCTTCCACACACCCTCCCACCCTAGGGCCTTTGCACAAGACGGCATTTTCTTCCTTTCCCTCGTTGCCTGATTAACCTTTGCCCGACATTCATATCTCAGTTCCAGGGTCACTTGCTCCAATGCCCACCCCTCCTGCCCCCACACCCAGCCCAGAGGTAGGTCATAGTCTAAGGTCACAGCATGAAGTTGAAGTTGTAATTTTACACTTCTTTGTATGGCACTTTCATTAACTGGCACTGCCGCCACTAGGCTGTAGACCCCACAGGAGCAGGATGGTGCATTTTTGTATCCCCAGAGCTTAGCACTGTGCCTGTCGCAGAAGAGGCCCTCACAAACCGTTGCAGAAATGCTTGAACTCTGAGTGTGAAGAAATCACACTCTTGGTTGGTGCATTTGCACCCAGATCCTTCCTCTCTGCCTGCCCAGCGCCTGTCCTCAGATCCTAGGAGACCAGGCTCCTCTCCTGTCCTTAAGTGGTGCTGGGTGTGTGGCAGTGCCTACACTAGGTGGGGAGAAGGGTTGCCGGGCATACCTCTGTCACAATGGTGCTCCTGGTGATGTTGTAGACCCAGCCATCCAGGCATGGCTCGGTGGCCCCCTGGGTGTCATTGGGCAGGCTGGTGTTGGGCGGATGTATGAAACGGAGGCACCTCTTGGGCTTCCCACTTGGGTCCATGGGAAGCACCCAGGGCCCTGCAGAGGCGTTGGAGGGTGGGCGACAATGGTGGGCAGGGGTGGTAGCTGTGAAGATCTGCAGCAGGTTGTGGTTGGCTACGCAGAGGACGGGGAGGCCTAGCATGGCCACGTGCAGGAACTGGAATGGTCCCATGCTGCCCACACGGTCCAGGATCTCGGAGAAGGTCATGGCGCCGGGTAAGACGAGCCAGAGCTGTGGGCAAGGCACCAGGCCAGGGAGAGGTATGTGCATACATGTAACACATGGGCCTATGGATGGTGTAGAACTACATGCGGGAGACTGTGTCCAGGTGGATGTATAAGCAGAAGTGTGTGGAGCAGTGTATGTGTATATGCGTAAAGATGTGGGGTGGGGTTGTGCGTACCCACAGATTCACCTGTGTACACGGTGTAGAACTACATGCGGGAGACTGTGTCCAGGTGGATGTATAAGCAGAAGTGTGTGGAGCAGTGCATGTGTATATGCGTAAAGATGTGGGGTGGGGTTGTGCGTACCCACAGATTCACCTGTGTACATGCTAGGATCACCCAGCTTCATGGAGAGATATGGGATCACAGGTGGGTAGACACAGAGGTGTCTATAAGTATGTGCACACCTAGGCTAGAGCATAAGGGCACAGCTGTGTGGGCTCGGGTGTGTGGCTGTGGGTGTAGGTATGTGCTCAGCGGGGTCCAGTCCTGGATGTTGGCTATACAGGTCAGAGGGTGAGGGTGGGTGGGAGACCCCTGATTGCTCTGGGCAGAAACACAGGGTTAGCAGAGCTCAGTTTGCCTGCTGGGAAGGGCCTCCCAAGCCCAGAGCCTCCCAGCTTTTGGCTGTTCCCTGAGGCTGGGTCCCCTACGCTGGGATGTCAGAATGAGCCCACGCAGGTCCCAGAAGGCATTAGGGGCCTGGCCAGTTGCAGCAGGGAAGCAGGGCCTGGCCTTAGGCACTTCTTGGGAGTTCCTGGGTACCTGGACTTGGGGGCCCTCCATCCCTCCTCACCTGGTGGCTGGGTCTGGCTCCAGTGGGTCTGTTGGTCAGTGAAGCAGAGTCCCCTGCTCTGTCCCAGGGTCCGGCAGCAGCTGTAGTTGGGCAGCTCAGCTCCAACAAGCTGTGTTTGTCCTTTCCCCAGGGGGGCTTATATAAGGCATAAGCTGTTTCTCGGGCTAATGTTTGACTTTCTTTTGAGGATTAACATCACTGGCAGGGAGAATGCTGTGGACCCACCAAGCTCAGCTCTCCTCAAAAGGCTGCCTCAGCGAAGGCCAGCGGGGGTGCAGGGGGGCATGGCTGAGCCCAGTGGGGCTGCTGGCTGGACAGACAGACAGGCAGCCTGGACAGGCTCACCTAAGGGAGGGTCTGGGAGGGGGACTGGTCCGACACCTGAGGGTCTGGGGTCCCTCTGAGCTGATGTTCTGGGTCTTCAGCTGAGAATAGCCAATGGGACAGGTGCTACCGCCCAGGGACAGACAACACTCCCCACCATCCCACCTCCCCCTGCCTGCTGCCTCCTGCCTATGGGCATGGGGATTTGCCTCCCAGCGCACATCCAGACAGAAAATGTCACCTGCATCTGTCCCTGAGGACACAGGGCTGTCATTTCCTGGGCCTCGGGGGCAGCCAGGGCCTCCCCTGTCCAAGTCTCCAATGCAGGTGAACTGTCCCTTCCATCTGCCCTCAAGGGACAGGCCCCTCTTCTGATCAGCTGCTTCCCCCTGGGGACCAATCACAGTCCCCACTGTTTTGTTTTTTCTCTGAATAATCTTTTAATTATATAATAATGTGTTTCTTGCATCGAATGTAGGGAGTACAGACACGCCAAACAAACCAAAACAAAACATCCGGTCTCACCTGACAGCCAACCCCGTGAGTGCTCTGATATATGTTCTTGCAGCCCTTTCCTCGGCAGAGACTTCGGTCTAAGACCGCGTCTTCTAGCAGCCAGCATTAGGCTCATTTAAGCCTCAAAGAGCCCTGTTACTATCCTAGCATTATCAGTGAGGAAACTGAGGCAAAGAGAGGTGCAGTCACCTGCCTATGGTCCTCCAGCCAGGAAGTGGCAGGGCAGGGGTGGTGTGGCTCTAAGCCCTCTTCTGTCCCTTAGAGCCAACATTTCCTATGAGTTCTCTGGGGCACTGGGCTATATTTCCTCTCCCTTAGCCACACACCTGGACTGGTCTTTAGCACCATTCCTGCCCATCCCACCTGCTCTGGGCTATGGGGAGGCCTTCTTAGGGCTCCCCTTCTTGTTTGGGGAGCTGCTTCCCATTCTCCTCCAGGGCCCCCTTCTCCACCAATACAGCATCCGGCTCCCAGGGCTCTGCCGAGCTCCTCCCCTCAAGCCTTGCAGCTCTTCCCCCCACGGCAGGACAGGGTCAGCTTGTTAACCCTCGTCCAGCCCCTCCTCTCCCTTCCCACCTGGGCCCAGCAGTTACTGACGTCCTCAGAGTGGCCTGAGGCAGGGCGAGATCCGGAGTCATCAAAGGAAGATTAAATTATGCTCCAGGGCAGCCAAGGGGTTGTTTTAGGAAGGTTTTCGACTGTGAGGCTTGCGGCAAGCTGGGCTGCTGCTCCGAGCCCCCCTGTCTGCACATTCGCCCTCTTGGAGATTTTCTGTTTCCTAATTGGCCTGAGTTATCCGTCTGTTCCTATCCTAGTGGAATGTTGTTTAAAGGAGCCTGATGACTTCCCACTGAGGCTGCTGGAGTTGAGCCAGAGTAAACACGTCCAAATGGCCCAGTCAGGGGCAGGTGCACAGGGGCCCCCAGCCCCCAATGGATGTGACTGGATTCACGATATCTGAATTGAGGATATAGGGAATTGTGTGATGTACTTGTTATAGGACCTTGGGCAAATCACCTCTCTCTGGGCCTCTGGTCTCTCTTCATTAGTTAAGTGGCTTTTTAAAAAAGCAGCAGAAGCCTTTTATTCAAAGGATATATTGGGTTCATAGGATCCATGCATGAAGCAGACAATACAGAAGGTGCTCTGGGAGAAGAGGGGCCGCAAGAGGGCCCCTGCACCCCCCTCCTCCCCCCACCCCTCAGTTCATCCTGACCTTTGGCATCCTTTGCTCCAGGCTGTCCCTGCCCAAGGTGTCTGCATGACATTAGGAGATCCATCACTTCTTACACGCTGTGATTCTCAATTCAATACGTCAAATTAATTTTCTTTAAAGAAGAGATGATGCAGTGGGGAAATCTTACACGCTAAATGCATTTTTAATTTGGGATACGGAAATAGATTTTCTCTCTCTCTCCCTCCCTTCCTTCCTCAGTTCCTTCTCCACACTCCCCTCTCTTCCCTTCATCTTTTATCTGAACTCCCCCAGAGTCTCTTTTAAGATGGAGTCTCCTCTGGGCTGGATTCAGTCAGTTGCCCTTGCTCTCTGCTGGGTCCCAGCACCGACATGTGTTTGAGCTGGGAGGGCCCATGAAATCATCTAACCCAGTGTCCTCATCGTATCTACAGGAAACTGAGGTCCAGTGAGAAAAGAAACACAGGTCTGATTCCCAGTTTTCCTGGCATGCTCTTACAGTGCATGATCTTCCTAAATCTTAAATTCACTGAGGCTGTGACAAGAGAAAGAGGGGACTCTTATTCCTGAGAGCGGTAAGGGAGTCGAGGCATTGTGGACAATTACAGGAGGCCTCAATGAATTTTCTATGGGGCCTCCACCCTCCTGACCCACTCATCCATCCGTCCGTCCAATGTGTACCATGGTCTGGTACGTCTGAGGCCACATGCTAGCAGCTATGGTACCCACCCTACTCTCCAGTATGCTTGTCAGCTCCAAAACGATTATCGCACAAAGGAGACCGACCTCAGTGTCACAGGAGATGAGCAGGTTTGAGGAACTGATCAGGGTGGGTTGCTCCTGGAATTCCTGAGAGCGGTAAGGGAGTCTAGGCATTGTGGACAATTACAGGAGGCCTCAATGAATTTTCTGTGGGGCCTCCACCCTCCTGACCCACTCATCCATCCGTCCGTCCAATGTGTGTCATGGTCTGGTACTTCCGAGGCCACATGCTAGCAGCTATGGTACCCACCCTACTCTCCAGTATGCTTGTCAGCTCCAAAACGATTATCGCACAAAGGAGACTGACCTCAGTGTCACAGGAGATGAGCAGGTTTGAGGAACTGATCAGGGTGGGTTGCTCCTGGAGAAGGTGGCATTTACACCAGGCTTTGATGATTAGGGGAGATCAATAAGTAGAATTGGACAGGGATCTGCAGACCCAGAGCATGTTGGGGAAACGGGAGGTAAAATGGATGAACCAGCTTGAGCAGAACCTCTCTTCCCACCCGGAGTGGTGACCTTGGTCTCAGAGGTTGGGACATCTCTGTGATAGTCTCAGAAGGGCTGATGATCCCCTGGGCTTCTCTGTCCCCATGGGGGTGGGGAGGGGAAGCTCCTGAGGCTTGTGACACCTGACGTGCCAGGAGCTGACTGATGCTCAGTGGTAACTGAACTCACTCTGTGCAGAGTCTGGGTCTCTCATCCCTCATAGAGGTTCCGCTGGGCCCTGTGAGCCCTCCAGGTGTCCCTGCTCCGTGCTGTCTACCTGCTCACCACCCTCTCAAGGGTCCAAGACCGAAGCTGTAGCATGTGTGGAGCCCTGTCCTGCTGTTCAGACTGTGGTCCAGGTGGGGATGGTGTTCAGTAAATTCCCAAGGGCCATGAGCTCTTCTTCCCTGGTGGCCAAGTGGGGTCCTCTCAGTCCCTAACTTTTTCACTGGCTTACTAGGGACCCCACATTCAGCCCCTGTCTTTGGGCAGCTCCAACAGAATAGGAGGCCCGTGGGGGTGGTTTCAGTCTGGACCTGGGCAAGGGGCTGTGCTTTGCCCTCACACCCCAATCCCTCCTCCCCCTCCATGGGCTGATTCTAAATTTTCCTTCATGGTAACGAGGCAGTTCAGGGCAAGGGGATTCCACACACCTGGATCTGAACCTTGACTCCGCTACTTGCTATCTGTGTGGCCTTGGGCAGGTGATATCACCTGTTCAAGCCTCAGTTTCCTTGCCTGTAAAATGAGGATTAAAACCTACCTTACAAGATTGTTGGGATTTTAAATAAAGTACAGTATATAAAGTCTGAACACAGCACCAAGCACGCAGGACTCAACGTGAGGGCGAGCCCTGAGGGAATAGGTCTTAGGAAGGCTGAGCACTCCCAGAAGAAGA